TGTGGCGTTTCCACTGCACTTGATTCGCTCTCTATTCGTTGTTTGACCCTTAACTATGAAAAAACTACATTATTCTTCACACAAAATTTCCTGAGCGAACACTCATATTTGTACGTTGTTCAAATCAAATTACTCTCAGAACAACGAAAAAATATGTCCCATCCCTAACAAATGAGAGCATTTATCGAAAAAATAAATTATGACATTTAAAAATTGAAAATAGAAAAATTTAATGAAATTTTAAAAATTTTTGGGAAGACTGAAAATTACGAATGAAAACCACAATATTGAATGGCGTATGTACATTCAAACGAAAGTACATTTTGTTTTCTCTCTCATTTGAGGTACGCATTTTATCCACGAGTTGAAATTTCCACAGAAAACTGCAAACAAAAGAGGCAATATTTTCAAAAACTTTGTATCGGCAGAAAAAATGTTTGACAAGTGTCTCTCCAGCAAAATTTAAAAATAGAAAAATACAAAAATATGTTCAAAATGTCAACATTTGCACAAAAAGTTGAAAACGTGAATGAAAATTATAAAATTAATGATATAATAAATCTTTGGGAGAAAAACAATCATTTCTTCTATTCATATTAGTGAGAATTTCATGTATTTTCGTATAAATTCCCATTAAAATCAACAAACAAAATTTTTGAAAAAAGGAATTATTTTACTATGAATTACGAATCGTGCCGTATGAACGGGTTAATTCGCGTACATAATTCTGAGAGCGAACAACGTTGTTCGGTTTCCAATGGAAACATGCTATAAAGTTGGTTGCAGTTTTTTCAAGTTGGTTGCAGTTTTCAATCGAAAATTGTTGCAAAAAATCATTACTATCGATTTTTTTCGGTATTGAATGGAAGATTTTGGCCCCAGTTCTGCAATTAGTTTATAATTTTTTTATCTTTAAAATTTGTCCTGGAAATAATATCTCGAGTTAAGGCCAAATTTCCAATAAGTTCAAATATGTACTTCATTGAAGCTAATATTATTTCCTTAAAAAAAAACTGTTTTACATCTCAACTAAATGCAATTTCCTCAAAGTTTTCAAAAGAGACCCTCCAAACCCCAACGAGAGAATAACATCAAAAACGACGAAAATAAAATTTCATATTTTCACAGGACATAGCCATCTTCTTCGGATGGATGCAATAAACATTTGTTTTATTGTTACGACATATAAACGCGAGTCTTTAGAGGAGGTGTTGACAAAATCATTGGCATCCCTTCGAATCGGGTGAGTGTATTCGTGTGTGTGTGTGTGTGCTTGGAAGTCATAGGAAATCTATGAATGAATCGAACACATGCTCCCGCTCTTGGGATCTTGGTGATCTGGCCAGAATGCTTTTTCTTCTTCTTCTTCTTCTGCTTTGAGGTTGTTGCTTTAACTTCCAATAAGAATTCAATTAAAAAACTCTTGAAATGTGTGGTGTTGAAACATTTACGCTTAACATTTGTTGTTTTGGTAGTGTTTCTGTGGTATGTAGGTGCGTGTGAGTGTGTTTTTCTTTTCTACTCCTCCTCCGTTTGTAGCATTTCATCAATAAAATAGTGCCATCATCTGGCGTTAGCTGTGTGACCCGGCCAGGCATTTATGTTGTGCCTAACAGTGATGGGCAAATGTGAGAATAGAACACTAGGTGTTAGCGATAACCTAATATTTTGTAAATATTATTTCAAAATATTGTTCGATATGGTTACAAAATGAGGTTCCTCGCTTCATGGGCCAAAATACCGCAGAACAACATTCGGGCAGCGTGAGACGGTTTCATTGGCCGTTTGAAGGCCATATTTCGTGCCAAAGGTGACAAATTCGAACAAATCTAAACTTATTTTAAAATTTGATGCTATTTCCGACATTTTTTGCTTTCATTCACTTAAATTTAAAAAAAAAAGATGTTAAAATTATGGCGTTTGACTTCATTGCAGTTTTTTTTATCTCAACCTGTATAACTAACTAGCAAGTGCCCGCTACTTCCTCAGCGAAAAGTCCACCTTAAAATTTTAGATGCGTTCCAACAGTTCGTGTTAGAACTTTTTAGTACTCTAAATGCACAATTTGTTCAGTTTTACAATTTTACACAGCCACCAACAATATCAAATTTCAAGATCATTTCCAAATGTATTAATATTTAGTACTTTTCGTACAATTATAGCACAAATTTCCGAAACCACCTTCATATCTTAATCCCAGATATCAACAAAGACCTCAATATCAAATTTTGGGATTTAAGCTATGTCACTCCACGCAAAACCAAATTTAGTACAATTTAGTACTTTTCGTACAATTATAGTACACATTTCTAAAACCACCTTCATATCTCTCAATTCCAGATAACAACAGAAACTTCAATATCAAACTTCAGAACTATTTCTCTATCTCATCACCCAAAACCAAATTTAGTACCACTTAGTACTTTTCGTACAATTAAAGTACACATTTCAAAAACCATCCTCATACGTCCAGACTACCCACGAATAGCGAATCTAATATCAAATTTCAGATTTCAATCACTATCTTTTCACCCGATAGCAAATTGTACCAAATATAGTACTATTTAGTACTTTTCGTGCATTTGTAGTACACATTTCCAAAACCACCTCTTTGTCACAAACCAACCACCAGCAGGCACTCGCAGTACACAATTTCAAAATTCTAGCTTCATCCGTTAACACCAAAAAAAAACTGTTGCAAATTTAGTACCATTTAGTACAGTTCACTCACATAGTGCACATTTCCAAAACCACCTTTATAAATAAAACTTACTTTCCAACCCTGGTTCTCATACCAAATTTCAAGTTTTTATCTTTATCTGTTCACATAATACCAAATGGGACCATTTTAGAAGTTTAGTACCAATTTAAAACTTTTCGTTCGAATTTCCAAAAACCGCTTTGTTACATTTATCCTGCGCTCCATTAATGACTCTCATTCCAAATTTCAGAAGTCCAGTTCCCACACACAATTCCAATTTTTCCCAAATTTAGTACCATGTCTACTTATGTGTACTTACATAACTACGAATTTCCAAAGCTAGCTTCCTATTTACCCCAATCCTACACTCCCACAGTGATTGCAATTTTAGAATTCCATCCCTGTTGGTTCGCCCAAACACAAATTGTACCTTTTAGTACATATAAGTACAAATTTTTAAAACGACCTACATATCTCAATCCAACACTCCGACAGTAATCTTATTTCCAATTTTCATGATACCAGCTCTATTTGTTCACTCAAATCCAAATTGTACCAAATTTTGTACTATTTGGTACACTTATGTACAAATCTTATTTTCAAATTTTATTGAATTTCAACTCTTCCGGTTCACCTAAAATTTAAATTGTACCAAATTGAGTACACATAAATACGAATTTTCAAAACTACCTACATACCTCAGTCCTGCAATGCAATAGTATTTATTTATTTTATTTATATTTTTTTCCAAATGTCATTATTAGAACTCTATAGATCCTGCCAAAATTTAAATTGTACCAAATTTAGTACAATTTAGTACACATAAGTACGAATTTCCAAATCTACCTCAGTCATAAAATGCGATAGTAATATTTTTAATCGGTTCACTTAAATCGCAATTTAGTACCATTTAGTACTTTTCGTGCACGTAAGTACAAATTTCGAAAATTTCCTGCATATCCCAATCCTACACTCCGGCAGTAATGTTAATTTCAAATATCAGAACTCCAGCTCCATCCATTCCTCCAAATTCAAATTGTACTAAATTTAGTACGGTTTAGTACTTTTCGAATAATTTTCCATCCATTCCTCCAAATTCAAATTGTACGAAATTTAGTACAGTACCCACTTCCAACACGACCTCCTTACGTCGACTCTAATCCTCAAACTCGATTCCCTTTCCAATTTTCAAGATTTTAGCTCTAACCATTCACATGATACGAAATGGTACCAAATGTCGTTCATTTTGGTACTTTTCGTGCATTTATAGTGCGAATTTCCAATAACCCTTTGGTTCATCTTTCATACCCTACATCAGTGACAGTTATTCCAAATTTAAGAGTTCTAGTTCTACTGCTTTCTCAAATACAAAGGGTATCATATTTAGTACTTTTTAATGCTTTTCGTACCATTATAGTACGAATTGCCAAAAACCCAGCCTGACCCCTTCGGGAAAAAAATGACCCTTACCCTTACCCAAAATTTCAAGATTTTAGCTTCAACCGTTTCGTCTGGGCTTTGATAAAGTCAGTCAATTCCATCTAATTAATAGAGCCAGCGTCTCTATATATATATATATATATATATATATATATATATATATATATATATATATATATATATATATATATATATATATATATATATATATATATATATATATATATATATATATATATATATATATATATATATATATATTTATTTATATATATATATATATATATATATATCTTTGTCCGAATGGGCAATACAAGTCTCAATTTAAAAAAAAATGTTTCGGCATATTTAGTCCTTTGAACTTTAAATTATAATTATAATCATAGCGTGTATGATTGAATTCTTCCATAAAAACTTGTTATTGTTATGTGGAGCTCCACTAAATTAGCAAAGTGGTGTGGGGTATCATAAAGTCAGCCCCGCCCGACTTTAAGTCTTTCTTTACTGTTTTTTTTTTTTCAAATAACGTATCTATTTAAGACCTACGAGAAATATTTCATCTGTGCTTTGATTTCCTGCCAGCCATAGAATAGTCAACAAAGTTTTATGCCCCACTGTTCGGTGCGCTAAAATGTTCGCCCCAACGGAGGGGGACAGGCATAGACAAACAAATAAAAATTAATTTCTTCATTGATGACTTATGGAACTGCAGAAACAACAATGAATAGACACACAAACGGCAGCACTTCATATTTGTCCCCTGCCATTGGCATCACTGGATGAGGGAACGGCAAACTTCATTTCCTCCACATCTCCACAGTGAAAATGAATGAAAATGAAAATGAAAAACACACAAGAATTTTCTTTGCACTCCATAAAAATTTTATTATTGCTTTTCTTCTTCTTCGCCTCTATACAAAAACAAAAATGTTACTAATTCAACATTGAATCTACTTCCGGTAAAAAAAAAAAAAAAACAAAATCTTCAAAAGGGACAAATTATAAGTTTTTCACACTTTAGGTGTCATCGCCGCCGTCGCCGCCGCCGCCGCCGCTGCCATCGTTGAAGAGTGCACAAGAAACGCAAAAAGGTGGATAGTATAAAAAAATGATAACAACTCCTTCTTTCTCTTTCATTCATCTCATCGTTCGTTCATCGTCCCCTCTCTCTCTCTTAAGATTGTCGGGTCACAAAGAAGGCAACCACAATCATGAACAATGATGATCCATAAACATAGCCGGAACCCTTGGCCCAGGGAATCACTGTTTCATTGGCTTGCAAGAAATTGCAACCGTTACCCTCACAGGTGTAACAGTCGCTGGTGTCGGTGCAAACGCCATTCGACTGAGCGGTGGACAAACAGCCACGTTGGAACGATTGGGTGGTGTTCTTGTCATCACGACGAATGTAACATTTGTCACCCAATTTATAGGTGGGACAGACGGAGGGACGTGCCGAAATATCCAAAGAGCAGGTGCTGTTCAGGCTGCCGAAACATTGGATGCAGCTAAGACGATATTGGGGGAAAAGGGCCCCATTGCAGCCTTCCATAAAACTGCAGGTCATGCATTCCATGTTGTTGTTGCACGTCGACAATGTGGCATTGTCGAGCTCACTGGCACAGCCACGAATTGTGACACCATCTGAGGGGGGAAGAGGAGGAGGAAAGAAAGTTAGAATTTAGAAACATGTCCCCTTGAAGAAGTAACTCTAATCTGAGTATAGAAAATCTTTTGTAATAAGGTACTGCACAAGGCCTCCATTCTTGAAAACCTTTAGTACGGTACTTACCCACAATACGAACGTAACAGGTGGAGCTGCTATTGGTACATTGCTTGGCCAAGAAATTTTCCGGTTGTGTGGCACACTTGGGATCGTTGGACGAGTTACATTGTACGCAGGAATCTGAAAGAGAAGGGAATTGAAATTATTAAAAGGTTCTGAAATAAAAGAAAAAATTCTCGAGGAAAAGACATCCGTCCTTTAGAGAGATAATACAATTCTGTAGCGTAACATTATATTAAGAACAGAGAAAGCTATTTAATGTTATGAAAGAGAAGAGAGAGGAAAGAGCTCCATTAACTCCACTCTCTTTTATTCAAACAATTATCACGAATACATTCTGAGCGCGCCTTTCTAGTGGCAAATGCATGTGCATCCGTTAATAACATCGGTTATAAATTGTCAAAGACATGAAAATATAAAGATTAGATAAAATGCCGTTTTTTGTTTCGATCAAAGCATTAAAAACGTTAGAGAAATATGTTATTCCGAAATCGTCAAAACATGACGGAAATCCGCATATAAAAGCTTGGAAAATTATATGGCCTCAAAAATCTTTGTCAGATCATTCCCATGGACATATAATGGATAAAAATCAGCGAAATGCTAATGCAATGTCATGATATGATGACATAAAAATTTTATAACCTCCAACACAGAATGGAGGGTATATTAACTTTGTCATTCCGTTTGTAACACCTCGAAATATAAATTTTAGACCCCACAAAGTATATACAGGTTGAGATGAAAAAACTGCAACCAGCTTCAGACTGCTGTCATTTCTAAGACACTCGTCCGACAGCACATCAAGGAAGTGGACGGAAGGAAAAAGTAACATCAGCAGAAATGGTTCGAAAAGTAAAGAAGCGACTTGATCGCAACCCGCGTCGCCGAGATCGAAAAATTATTCGTGAGTAGAACATATCGCAATATTCCATTCGTCAAATATTGAAAAATAAGCTCGATGTAAAGCCATTGAAATTCCAAATGCGGCAAGAACTTACCCCGCAAAGAAAGAAAATAAACTCAAAAGAGCTTGGTGAACTGCCGAATTTGTTTTTCTCCGATGAGAAATCATTCGTTGTTTGTAAACAAACAAAATGATCGTGTTTACTTGCCAAAGAGGTCAGCTGAACTCAAGCACCGGCCATGGCGATGGTGTGGGCCGCCATAACAGCCGATGGTCGCTCTCCACTCGTATTAATCGACCGAGGCATTAGAATAAATGCCGAATATTATCGGCAAAATATTCTGGAGGGTGTATTAAAGCCTTGGGTAACCAAACTTTTTTGCTGCAGACCTTGGACATTCCAACAGGCACCATCACACTCAGCACGCGCCACCCAAGAATGGTTCCAAAATGAGGTTCCTCGCTTCATTTCCAGAGCAAAATAGCCACTAAAATCTCCGTATACCAATTCTTTGGACTATTGAGTCTGGAGTACTTTTAGAACAGACAGCAAGGTTAGCACTAAAAAATACGAAATTGTTGATCACACCAAGCAAGCATTTCGACGGGAATGGGCCAAAATACCGCAGAGCAACATTCGGGCAGCGTGTGACAATGGTGACCAATTCGAACAAATTTAAACTTATTCTAAAATTTGATGCTATTTCCGACATTTTTTGCTTTCATTCAATAAAATTTTGATGATTTTCGCCATATTTTTTACGGATTTGTCTAAAAATTGGTATTTGTAGGTCATAATAGGTTTTAGCTAGTGTGGCGCAATATTTTATGTTTAGGTCCCCGATTTTGTATAGTCTCGATATTCGGTTTTTTGTAAATTTTTACCACATTTTCCCAGGGATTTGTCTAAAAAATAGTATTTGTAGGTCATAGTAGGTTCTAGCTCGTGTGGCGCAACATTTTATGTATAAACCCACGTATTGTTATGGCGCCCATATAACGGTACCTACCGATATTCGGTATTTTTATGATTTTTACCAGATTTTCCCACGGATTTGTCTAAAAATGGGTATTTGCAGTTCGTAATGGGTTCTTGCTCCGGCAGCAGAACATTGAACATTTGTTTCTACATTTTCCTATAGCGTACATATAACGATACCCACCGATACTCGGTATTTTGATAATCCTATTCACAAGTACCTCACAATCCGTGAAGTATAAAATTGTCCATAGAGGGTCCCCTTTTGGTATACCCCACATATAAAGGGCTCACCCACTGTATGGTTTTTTGAGAAGTTTAACAGCATTTCAGTTTTACAGCAATTCAGATACTTTTATTTAAAATTTGTTTTCTTTACCCAGGGGTAAGGGTATAAAAAGTTCGGCTCGGACGAACTTAATGTTTTTTATACCCTACACCACAAGGTTATCAGGGTATTATGTCTTTGTGCATTTGTTTGTAACAGGCAAAAGGAAACGAGATAGACCCATAGTTCCTTTTGATGATCTGCATAGAATCACATTCTGAGTCGATTTATGCATGCCCGTCCGTCCGTCCGCCTGTCCATGTATTTTTGTGAACAAAGTACAGTTCGCATTTATTACCCGATCCAGTTGAAATTTTGCACAAAACATTTGTTTGACCCAAGGACGAACCCTATTGAAATTGGAGATAAGCGGTAAAAATTTAGATATAGCTACCATAAATATCTTTGTCCGATTTGCCTTTTATTGTGCACCAAATGTTTAATATCAGCCCGAATAGCATGGAATTTTGCACATACAATCAAATTAGGCCTGAAAATAAGTATACCAAATTTGATCGAAATCGGCTCAGATATAGCTATAGCTCCCATATATATTTTTCATCCGATTTGTTATTTTTGTTCTCCGCAGCCGTAATGTACACTCTGTAACAACAATATTTGGGGAAATATATCAAATACAGCTCAGAAATACATTTTCTAAAATTTATCGAGATCGGCTTAGATTTGGATATAGCTCCCATACATAACTTCGTCCGATTTACCTTTTATTGTGCACCAAACTTCTAATATTTGTCCAAAAGGGATGGAATTTGGCACTTACGACCGAATTGAGTCTAGAAGCTAGTATGTCAAATTTGGTGAAGATCGGTTCAGATATAGCTATAGCTCCCATATATACTGTTCATCCGATTTGTTATATTTGTTACCCACAGCCGTTCAGGGAAATATATCAAATACAGCTCAGAAATATTTGGGTATAGCTCCCATATATATTTTTATCCGATTTCAAATTAATTGTGCACCGAATGATCACTACCAGTCCGAATTTAAAAGATACAAATGCTTCGGCATATTTAGTCCTTTGAACTTTAAATTATAATTATAATCATAACGTGTATGATTGAATTCTCCCATAAAAAATTGTTACGCGGAGCTCGCCCGCCTGACTTTAAAACTTTCTTTACTGGTTTTTACTTGTTTAAGAAGAAGAAGACCTTTTACTGTCTTCTCCTCATAGAAGGTTTTCTATGTATAAAATGTCTATTTTTATTATTGTTATTATTTATATAATTTATTCTTTAAAAAAATGTTTGCTTTAAATACATCTCCCTGTTTTCACAGACAAAATCGCACAATGATTCATCGGCATAGATACAGTTTGGATAAACAGACGTATTTATTTAATATTGTATCTACTACCAAAACAAACCTCAAACAATCTGAGAGCAGACAATATTCCCTATTATGACTAATACACACAGTAATCTACTTTCCAAACGGTTATATAAACTATGTTGAACTCAGTACAAAAGTGTACCTACAAAGTGCCTCTAGAAATGGCCTTAGTTCTTTCTTTTCTATATTTATGTATTTATTTTGCTGTGTTTATTTACTAAACATTTTTTTTTTCAATATCGTACTATCTAGCCCGCAATCCACAACACCTTCACATGGCCATAGATTTATGTATGTACATATATATGTATGTACAGACATACGTATGTATGTGTATATCTACGTCTATGCAATTGAAATGATGTCAACAATTGAAAAGGTTTTATCAATATATTCGAGGTACCTATTTGTTATTTTTTCCGATCACTACCTTTTGATAAGATTAAATACACTCCTTTCTCTCTCTCTCCCCACTGCTCAATGCTTATCTGCAAAGACAGTTTAAATATTTGTTTTTTTTTTATTATTTATTAGTGGACAAATAGAGGCTAGAACATACATTTTGTGGTTTGGTGGTAACTAAGGGACTTTAAAAAGCCAAGACTGTACATGCCTAGAATGCTGAGTAAGAATTCTTGGAAAAGGTTCTATTTATATGGGATGAAATAAGTTTCAATAAATTTGTGATAAAATGATATTAATTGCAATGATCCTTAAAATCGATTGAAAGTTAAGAAAAAAAGAAGTAAAATAGTATTAGTCGATTTTTTCCGACAGATGTATACCCCCAGCCTTCAGTTATGTTTATTCAAACCGTTGACCCTTTATGGGGGAGGTTCCGAAGCAGTTGGCCAATATTTACCGATTCGTATCTGACCTAAAATCGATATAAATAATACACCGTGCCAGATTTGGACTACATCCTATAATTTATATAAGATATGTCCAAATTTTTGGAAAATGTGTAGCGGACCGAAGTATTCCATTTTTATGCATCATCTAATTCAGAATAAAATATTGGCATGGGCAAAATTACCACCTTTATGCAAAATCATAAATTCCATATTCTTTTCAGATTTCAGGTTGAGAGATATATTTAAATATAGCAAGTTGTAAAGAATCGCTGACTTGTTTCGCAATTACGACAGATATAAGTAATGAATATTGTGACGCTTTGTGGGTGAGGTACCAGAAGGGGTTGACAGATATCTACAGATTCACAACAGATCTTACTTTAGAAAAAATGTTTGGATATGTGAAATTAAAGAGGGTGGATATTTTATATGCGTTTTTCTTTTAAAAATTTTGAACCCTTCGTGGGGGAGGACCAGGTGAAGTGGACCGCTATATCCCAAATTCATCTGTCAGATCTGGTGTATGTAGAAATAGTTATTTCGAATTTTATGAACGTTTTGGCAATTCCAAATTTTGAACCCTTCGTGGGTGAGGTACCAGAAGGAATCTTTACTATCTTCATAACAGATCTTGTGTTAGCAAAAATACTTGAAAATGTTACATTTGAAGAGAGTTGAATGCTTATTTCGCTTTCTTTGACCATTTTGGTTTTTGGAAATCTTGAACCCTATGTGGAGGAGATACCAGAAAAAGTGGTCCAATCTCTACAAATTTTTATAACCGATCTTGTGATGATGAAAATATTGAGATATGCCAATATGTTAATTTCGCGTTTTATGAGTTTCATGAGTATTCAAAATTTTAAACCTATGTGGGGTAGGGACCAGAAGGTATCGGCCGATGCATGCCATCTTTACAGCAGATCTTGTGTTAGTAGAAATAATGGGATGTGTGAAATATGAAGAGAATCGGATGCTTATTTTGGATTTTATAAATGTTTTGGTTATTCAAAACTTCGACCCTTTGTTGTAGAGGTACCAGAAGGAATGGTCCGATCTCTACTATCTTTATAACAGATCTTGTGTTGATGGGCATATTGAGATGTACCAAGTCTGAATAAAATTGGATGATAATTTCGGGATCTATGAGCTTCGTGGAAATTCAAAACTTTGACCCCCTGTGAGGGAGGTACCAGAAGGAATGGTCCGATCTCTAACACCTCTATAACAGATCTTGTGTTGACGGAAATATTGAAATGTGCCAAGTCTAACTGGAATTGGATGTTAATTTGGTTTTTTGTGAGCTTCGTGAATGTTCGAAATGTTGACACCTTGTTGGGAAGGTACCAGAAGGAGTGTTCCGATATATTCCATCTTCACACCAGACCTTGGATTAATAAAAATATTGTGCTGTGTGTAATTTGAAGACAATCGAACACTTACATCACATTTTATAAGAGTTATAATTATTAAAAATTTTGAACCTTTGTGGGGGAGGTACTTGATGGAGTGAACCAATGTTGTTCATTTTCACACCAGACCTAGCACTGATGCAAATATTAGGATTTGCAAAGTTGGAGCAAAATCGGATTATCATTTCTCTTTTTGTGCAGAAAATATATTGTTTTTTGAAAATTTCGACCTTTTGTGTGGGAGGTACAAAAAGGATTGGGCCAATATATTCCATGTTCACACCAGATCTTGGGTTAATAAGAATATTGCGATGTGTTTACTTTGAAGAAAATCGGACGCTTACACCACATTTTATAAGAGTTATAATTATTTAAAATTTTTGACCATTTGTGGGGGAGGTACTTGATGGAGTGGGCCGATATTGTCCATTTTCACACCAGACCTAGCACCAATGCAAATATTAGGATTTGCAAAGTTGAAGCAAAATCGGATTATCAGAAAATATATATTTTTGAAAATTTCGATTTTTTTTTTTGGGGGGAGGTACCAGAAGGAGTGGACCAATATTGCCCATCTGCGAACTCGATCTAAGTTTGACAAAAATATTACGATGTACCAAGTTTGGATCAAATCGGATACTCGCTTCGAGAGTTATCGTGCGCCACAGCCAGACACACAGACAGATGAATGGACATCGCTAGATCGACTCCAAATGTCCTGAAACGGATTTGGTCCAAAGAGTCACCTAAGGTCTAAAACCGTTATTTCGTTGAGGTACGTTCTGGCCATATCAAATGATATATACCCTCTCTAGCCATGTGGGGTATAACAAGTTAAAAAGCAGTAATAGTCGGCCGGGCCAAACTTTGAATACCCTCCACCATTTGGAACGAATTTGGAAATTAAAAAAAAAATAAAATCCTTAAAAATTCTGTTAAATTTTAAAAATACCGAATATTGCTGTTATATTGGGGCCTATACGACGTGGACCTACATATGGCATTGTTTGCCATTAGCCATTACCATATTCAAATTCGAAACTTGAAATACAAAACCTGGAGCTGCATAGACAATTTTCTATCACAGACTGTAGATTCCATTACGAACTATAAATGCGTAATTTGAAAAAAATCCGGTGAATAATGACGCTAAAATTATCAAAATACCGAAAATAGGGAGGTAACGTTGTATGGGGGGCTATACGAAGACCTGGACCTGCACAGACAATTTTCTGTCTTAGGCGGTAGTATCCATTGCGAACTTAAAATACCAAATTTTAAACGATTCCGGTTAAAAATGTCGCTAAAATCATTAAAATAGCGAATATCGGGAGGCACCGTTATATGGGGGCCATACGAAGATCTGGACCTGCACAGACAATTTTCAGTCTTAGGCTGTAGTATCCATTACGAACTTCAAATATTAAATTTGAAACTATTCCGGTGAATAATGTCGCTAAAATCATCAAAATGCCGAATATAGGGAGGTACCATTATAGGGGGGCTATATGAAAACGTGGACCTACATGGCCCATTTACGAGCTTAAACTGCCTACTGGAAAAATAAACAAGTGTGCAAAATTTTAGCCTTCTATCTCAATTCGTTCGAAAGATAGCGTGAACAGACAGACAGACGGACATCGACTTAGACTTTTACGCCTATCAAGAATATATATACTTTGTTGGGTCTGACATGAGTATTTCGAGGAGTTACAAACGGAATGACAAAGTTAATATACCCTCCATAGTATGGTGGAGGGTATAAAAATGGATTATAGTATTAAAAAATTAAAAATATATTTTTGCAGTTCTGGAACAGAGCAAAAATTAATTTCCACCATCGATAATTATTCGCACCAAAATTTTTCGTCCTCGTCGTTGCCTTAAGAAGAATGATTGCAACATGTATTTATACTATAGGGCAGGTTATCGTTATTTCCTCTGTATCGAATTATTTCAAAAAATTGAAAGTGTTTTAACAACCATTTTCTCTATTCCAGAACTTGTTAGAATCCATAATTTTCTAATTTTTTCCGATGCCATAAAGGGAAAATCGGTTATCGCAGTAAAAACTTTTATATTCTTGCAGTTCTGGAACAGAACCAATAACGTGCATATATCCAAACTTCCAAAAGGTATATCAATATTTCACCATTTGAAAAAAAAATGGACCTTGTTCCCCATTTATTACGCACAACTTATAAAGATATTCTCTTCAATTGATAAGCGCGTATAAATACATCACACTACTTATGTGTAGACTTTTTCACAAACTTATGTCATTACTACGCTCTTCATTTTTAGACGCCTTGGGAGCATATATTTTTGTCCATTTTTCCAACACAAATATTTTCAAACGAATGACGTTTCTTAATTTCACAATTTTGATTCCAAAAAAAAAAAGGTACTCCACTTTAACACTTGAGGCTCATCAATCCACCAATGGAATGGTATTTTCCCTTTATTTTGATTTACAAAACTTAAAACTCAATATTACCGGAATAGGCATAAGCCAAGAACACAACGAAGACAATGCCAACGGACAGTAGGAAACGCATTTTTACTTGTCTTCTTTTTTCGGATTTTAATCGTTCGTTTTAAGCTCAACACTCGCCTCTGCACTTGTGATGCGATGAAAATACGGAGTTTAACTGAAATACAAATGAAAATGTTCGACTTTTCTACCATCGACTGACGATCGTTAAAATACGACAGAGTCGAGTAATCTTATCATCAGTTATTTGTTTCGCTGATAATTGGCCGGATCCGTCGGCAAACGGCGTTTGCAAGAGGCAAACAGTGTTTTCGGTCGCGATACAAATTGAATCGAACAGCTAAGGTGAGATTCCAACTCCAAATAGATATATGACTCAAATATGGGTGTTTTTTTTTGTAAATAAACAGTTGTTAGAGATTAATCATCGACATAGGTTGTGTTAGCATTGACGAATTTGTGATAAGCTAGAGGTTTGTGGATATAATTTTGGTAATAATTGATATTTTACAAGAGTCGATGTTGATAAGGTAGAATGCCTAATTCACTAAACCAAACCTTAAGAGCGAATATAAATCATTTGGTGCTGTCAAAAATTAGTCACATTCAAATAACGGTACTAGACCCATATATATGTTTGGGCTCAATTCGTCCCAGGAAACTTGGAATTGACAAAGCCATATGCTGCAATGCCCATCCAAAAAGAATATAAAATCGAAATTCGAAACTTTTTATACCGACAGGAACATGGCTAGAGAGGGTATTATATATCATTTGATACGGCCAAAACGTGCCCTAATCGAAATAACGGTTTTAGACCATAGGTCTCATTAAACCAAATCTGTTTCAGGGCATATGCAGTCGATCTAGCAATGTCCGTTCGTCTGTCTGTCTGGCTGGCTGGTGCGCACGATAACTCTCGAAGGGAGTATACGATTTGGTCCAAACTGGGTACATCGTCATATTTTTGTCAAACTTAGATCGAGTTCGGAGATGGGCAATATCGGTCCTTCTGGTACCTCCCACACAAAAAGTCGACATTTTCAAGGAAAATATTGTACTGCATAGAGAGAGAAACGATAATCCGATTTTACTCCAACTTTGCAAATCTCAATATTTGCGTCAGTTCTAGGTCAGGTGCGAAAATGGGCAATATCGCTCCACTCCATCAAGTACCTCCCCCAGAAATGGTCAAAATTTTGAATAATTACAACTCTCATAAAATGTGATGTAAGAATCCGATTGTCTTCAAATTTCACTCATCCCAATATTTATATTAACCCAAGGTCTGGCGTAAAGATGGAATGTATCAGTCAACTCCCTCTAGTACCTCCCCCACAAATGGTCAAAATTTTCAAAAAATATTTTTGCACAAAAAGAGAAAGGATAATCCGATTCTGCTCCAACTTTGCATATCCTAATATTTGCGTCAGTGCTAAGTCAGGTGTGAAAATGGACAATATCGGTCCACTCCATCAAGTACCTCACCCACAAATTGTCAAAATTCTGAATAATTGCAACTCTCATAAAATGTGATTTAATAATCCGATTGTCTTCAAATTTCACACATCCCAATATTTTTATGAATCCAAGATCTGTCATTAAGACGGAATATATCGGTCTACTCCATCAAGTACCTCCCCCACAAAGGGTCAAAATTTGGAATATCCATTAGGCTCATAAAACGCAAAATTAACATCCGATTCCATTCAAATTTGGCACATATCAATATTTCTATCAACACAAGATCTGTTATAAAGATGGTAGAGATCGGACCATTCCTTGTGGTACCTCCCCAACAACGGGTCAATGTTTTGAATAACAAAAACGATCATAATATCCGAAATAAGCATCAGGTTCTCCTCAAAGTACACACATCACAATGTTTGTATTAACTCAAGGTCTGGTGTGAAATTGGAATACATCGGTCTACCCCTTCTGGTACCTCCCCAAAAAGGGGTCAACACTTTGAGTACCCGTGAAGTTCATAAAACGCGAAATTAACATCCGATTCCATCCAGACTTCGTACATCTTCATATTTCCATCAACACAAGATCTGTTGTAAAGATGGGAGGGATCGTAGCATTTCTTCTGGTACCCCCACCCCCCTTCAACTTCACAGTTTGGGGCGGTTTATGGGCAGGACAATTAAAATATAGATTTCAAGTTTTTATACCCTTCAGCATCCTATGGAGGGTATATTAACTTGTCATTCCGTTTGTAACTCTTCGAAATACTCATGTCAGACCCAACAAAGTATATATATATTCTTGATCAGCGCAAAATTCTAAGTCGATTTAGCGATGTCCGACTGTCCGTCTGTCTGTCTATCTTTCGAACGAATTGAGATAGAAGGCTACAATTTTGTACACATGTTTATTTTTTCAGTAGGTAGGTTATGTTCGTAAATGGGCCATGTAGGTCCACGCCTTCGTATAGCCCCATATAACGGTACCTCCCGATATTCGGTATTTTGATGATTTTACCGACATTATAATCGGAATTTGGTATTTGAAGTTCGCAACGGATAGTACAGCCTAAGACAGAAAATTGTCTGTGCAGGTCCACGTCTTCGTAAGGCCCCCATATAACGGTGCCTCCCGATATTCGGTATTTTAATGATTTTAGCGACATTTTTAACCGGAATCGTTTAAAATTTGGTATTTGAAGTTCGTAATGGATACTACAGCCTATGTCAAAAAATTGTCTGTGCAGGTCCAGGTCTTCGTATAGCCCCCCATACAACGTTACCTCCCTATATTCGGTATTTTGATAATTTTAGCGTCATTATTCACCGGAATTTTTTCAAATTACGCATTTAGAGTTCGTAATGGAAACTACAGTCTGTGACAGAAAATTGTCTATGCAGATCCCGGTCTTCGTATAGGCCCCATATACCAGTACCTCCCTATATTCGGTATTTTGACGAGTTTAGGCACAATACTCACCGAAATTGTTTGAAATGTCGTATTTAAAGTTCGTAATAGATGCTATAGCCTGTGACAGAAAATTGTCTATGCTGGTCCAGGTCTTCGCCCAGCTCCGATATAACGGTACCACCCTATATTCGGTATTTTGACGAGTTTAGGTACAATACTCACCGAAATTGTTTGAAATGTCGTATTTGAAGTTCGTAATGGATGCAGGTCTTCGCCCAGCTCCGATATAACGGTACCTCAATATATACGATATTTTGATGATTTTAGCTACATTATTCACCGTTCATTTCAAGTTCCGAATTTGAATTTGGCTTTGACTTATGACAAACAATGCCTGTGTGGGTCCACGTCGTATAGACACCAATAAAACGGCTATATTCGGTATTTTTAAAATATTGACAGAATTTTTTAAAGATTTTTTTTCCAAATTCGTTCTAAATGGTGGAGGGTATTCAAAGTTCGGCCCGGGCTTTTTAACTTGTTTTTTTTTAACTTTCCTATAGCCTTTATTAACATATTTTACTTTTTCATAAAAATAATATTTTTTTAAAAAAACTCCTTTTAGAGTTTTATGGCGGTCACAACAAGGCATTAAAATATGGGTTATTTTTTTTTTCATTTTCAAATTAGCTGACAAATGTTGCGGGATATTTATGAATAAATATATTTACAACATTTTAGTGCTAGTCTAAAATTTTCGATTTTGTTCCTCGATCGATACAAAACCCATAGATTTATTGTGGCTAGTCTAAACAAAACCTATAGCGAGGCCGGGTTTCTTTATCTGACTTCAAATCACTGTGATGTAGCATCCACATATTTTTATGCTGGTTTGTTGTCATTTCTACTCAAACTATTTGAATTCATTTGTGATTGCATTGTTTTCCAATTAAGTGATTCCATTCAATACCAAGAAGTCACCTAGTTCCAATTCGCAGAGAAATTTTATGGAGTGCTCAAGTTGATCTCAAAAATATACAAAGATTTGAGTGCGAGTTTGATTTTAGAATTTAATATTTACTATTATTTATTCGAAGATATTGGGGCTGCGGATATTTGCAAAATATATTTTGTCCTAACATTCATTATGTCTTGATGCTCGACTAATACCATAATGGTAATTAAAACAAACAATTATAAACATGTGAGTTGTGAACAAGACTCCTGCGTTAAAGAAACCAAAAATTTGAGATAAACAACAAATTTCATAACAATAACCTGTTTTCATAAATAATATTGAAAAAAAAACAAGTTAAAAAGCAGTAAGTTCGGCCGGGCCGAACTTTTAATACCCTCCACCATTTGCAACGAATTTGGAAATTTTCAAAAAATAAAATCCTTAAAAAATTCTGTTAAAATTTTAAAAATACCGAATATAGCCGTTATTTTGGGGTCTATACGACGTGGACATACATAGGCATTGTTTGTCATAAGCCATTACCATATTCAAATTCGAAACTTGAAATAAACGGTGGATAATGTAGCTAAAATCATCAAAATACCGAATATAGGGAGGTACCGTTATATGGGGGCTATACGAAGACGTGGACCTGCACGGATAATTTTCCGTCTTAGGGTGTAGTATCCATTTTGAACTTCAAATACCAAATTTGAAACAATTCCCGTGAATAATGTCGCTAAAATCATCAAAATACCGAATATAGGGAGGTACCGTTATATGGGGGCTATATGAAAACGTGGACCTACATGGCCCATTTACGAGCTTAACCTGCCTACTGGAAAAATAAACATGTGTGCAAAATTTTAGCCTCCTATCTCAATTCATTGGAAAGATAGCGTGATTACAACAGACAGACGGACAGACAGACAGACGGACAGACAGACAGACAGACATCGCTAAATCGACTTAGAATTTTACGCTGATCAAGAATATATATACTTTGTTGGGTCTGATATGAGTATTTCGAGGAGTTACAAACGGAATGACAAAGTTAATATACCCTCCATAGTATGGTGGAGGGTATAAAAACAAGTTTAAAAGCATCTGCCGGTTTTGCCGACAGATGTATGCCCTCAGCCAATGTTCGATTATTTAAATACATTTTGACTTCTGTTATGATTATTCAAATTGTTGACCCTCTATGGAGTGGGTTCCGAAGAAATGCGGCAATATTGTCCATTTCGTATCGGACCTAAATAAATATGATATAAATATTGCGACCGGTCAGATTTGGACTCTATTGGTTACTTCCTTCACTTTATATGAGATA